AGCGCCAGCACCCCCTTCCCTCTGACCATCATTGCACTCTTGTCTGTGTCTATGTGTCTATTTATGTATAGGTTTTGTGTAGACAATTCATTTCACTTGGATACATAGCTAGAAGTAGAATTGGTGGGTCAAGTGGTAACTCTAACTTTCTGAGGAACTTCCAGATGTTTTCCAAAGTGGCTAAGCCATTTTACATTACTACCAGCAATGTATGAACGTTCTAGTTTCCTCATATCCTTGCCAACACATCTGTCTTTGTGTTTCTTTTTGATGTTATTGTAAGTGGAATTGTGGGTGTGAAATAGTATTTTATTGTGGTTTTGATGTGCCTTTCACTGATGACTAATATTGTCAAGCATCTTTTTTATGTGCCTATTGGTTATTTACATAGCTTCTTTGGAGAAATGTCTGTTTACATCTTTTGCCCATTTAAAAATTCAGATACTGCCGAAACCAGTTTGGCTCAATGGATAGAGCGTCGGCTTGGGGACTGAATGGTCCCGGGTTCGATTCCGGTCAAGGGCATGTACCTTGGTTGTAGGCATATCCCCAGTAGGGGTGTGCAAGAGGCACCTGATCAATGACTCTCTCTCATAGATGTTTCTAACTCTCTATCTCTCTTCCTTCCTCTCTGTACAAAATCAATAAAATATATTTAAAAAATTCAGATACTTCCTTATCTTACAGTTGTACCCTGTTCCCCGAAAATAAGACAGTGTCTTATATTAATTTTTTCTCCCAAAGTTGTGCTAGGTCTTATTTTCAGGGGATGTCTTATCCTTCCAGGTGCTAGGTCTTATTTTCGGAGGATGTCTTATTTTCGGGGAAACACGGTAGTCTTTTAAAAATATATCCTGTATACAAATATCTTATAAGATAAATAATTTGGAGTTTTTCCACCTTCTTTATGGTGTACTTTGAAACATGAAGTTGTTAATGTTGTTATGTAGTTCCAGTTTACTTAATTTTTCCTTTGTTTCTTGTGCTTTGGTGCCATATAACATTTGCTCTTTATTTTCTTTGAAGGATTTTATAGGTTTAGCTCTTTTATTTAGGTCTTTGATCTCTTTGGTTTAATTTTTGTATATGGTGTGAAAGAGTCTAACTTCATTCTCTTGCATATGGATACCTAGTTATCTAAGCATCATTTATGGAGAAAACTATCCTTTATTGAATTGTTGTGGTATCCTGTTGAATTGACCATAAATGGGAGGCTTGTGTCTGGGCTCTCAGTTCTATTGTATCGATCTATCTGTTTATCCTCAGTGGTATGTCTGTATCATAACATTCTTGATTACTAGAGTTATGTAGCAAGTTTTAAAATCTAGCAATGTGTTAGTTCTCCCACTTTGTTTTTCTTCTCAAGATTACTTTGCCTATTCTGAATCTCTTACATTTCCATATGAATTTTAGGAATAGTTTGTCAATTTCTACAAATAAAAAAGGCTGCTAGGATTTGATAAGGGATTGTTTTGACTCATCATTTGGGGACTATTAGATTTTAAATATATATATATTTTAAATAAATCTTTATTGTTCATATTATTATAAATGTTCCTCATTTTTTCCCCTCCATTGCTCCCCTCCACCAGGTTCCCATACCAACATCTGCTCTTTCCCCACCCCCCATTGTCCTCATCCATCGGTGCACAGTTTTTGTTCAGGCTCTTCCCACACCCCCCACTCCTCTTTTCCCCAAGAATCGTCAGTCCACTCCACTTTCCATACCTCTGATTCTATTATATTCACTAGTTAATATTGTTCATCAGGTTTTTTAATTCCCTTGGCTTTTAGTTTCATTTGTTGATAGTTACGTATTTGTTGATCATAATTTTTATCTATATCTTCTTCCTCTTCCTAAAGAACCCTTTTCAGCAATTCATATAATTCTGGTTTGGCGGTGATGAACTCCTTTAGCTTTTTTATTTTATTTGTGAAGTTCTTTATCTGGCCTTCAATTCTGAGGGATAGCTTTGCTGGGTAGAGTATTTTTGGCTGTAGGTTCTTGCTATTCATCACCTTGAATATTTCTTGCCATTCCTGTCTGGACTGCATGGTTTCTTTTGAGAAATCAGCTGACAATCATATGGGTGCTCCTTTATAGGTAACTACCTGCTTTGCTCTTGCTGCTTTTAATATTCTCTCTTTGTCTTTTGCTCTTGGAATTTTAATTATGATGTGTCTTGGTGTGGTCCTCTTTGGATTCCTTTTGTTTGGGATTCTGTGCACTTCCTGGACTTGTAAGTCTAATTCTTTCCCCAGGTGGGGGGAGTTTTCTGTCACTATTTCTTCCAGTATTCTTTTGGTATCTTGCTCTTTCTCTTCTTCTGGGACCCCCATAATTCTGATGTTGGTTTGTTTGAAATTGTCCCAGACATTTCTTACACTATCTTCAACTTTCTGGATTCTCTTATCTTCTTGCTTCTATGGAGGAGTGTGTTCCAAATCTTTGACTTGATTCTTGCGATCTTCCCTTCTGTTTTTAGGACTCTGTATAATATTTTTATTCAGACAATGTATTCTTTATTTCTAGTTGATCCCTTTTGATATCCTCATAGATCTCATTTATTTTATCGGCCTTTTCTAGGAAATTCTTGAAAAACCTTGTAAGTGTGGTTTTGAACTCTATATGCAGTCGCTTTTTGTCCTCCATTTCTTTTGTTTGTGATCTATTTCCTGTCTCTGCATTTTCATAGCTTCCCTGAGTTGGTAGGGTGGCTTGGTGTGCTAAGGTGTCCTATATGGTTCAGTGGGTCAGCTTCCCAGTTACCTGAGGTGGACAGTCTTGGTGTAGCCCTTTGTGGGCTGTGTGTGCAATATTGTTGTTAAGCTTTGCTTGTTGTTGGCATCACTGGGAAGCATTGATCTCCAAGCCAATTGGCTATGAGGATCAGAAGTGTCTCAGCTAGGAGGGCTTTTGTTTTCCTCTTGGATGGGGTGGAGTCTTGGAGTGGCACAGCCAAGCTTTGGTGAATCCCTCAAGATTGGTTGCAGGCGTGTGCACCTCTTTGGTATAGGCTCAGAGAAGCTCCAGAGTCCTATTAGCGGCAAACGAGTCCTATTAGCGGCGAACTAGCCACTGGAAGGGCTTCTGTGCTCCACTTGGGTGGGGCGGAGTCTCGGGTGGTACAGACAAGCTTTATTCAGCCCCTCCCTACGAGAGTCTGGTTTCTGAGTTCCGCAGTAATGGCCGCTGGCTTCACACACCTCCGAGAGATCTCTGCCCACTGCCTGACAGTCTGGCCTCTCCCTGTCTGGGGCCGTCAGAGCAATAGGGTGGTTCTGTTTTCCTCCAGAACAAGAAAGCTAGCCGCACATTAGCTGTCCCCCTCTCAGTGCACAGGGAGTAAGCCAGTAGTGAACTCGGCCTGCCCTCTCCGCGCTCCACTCTCCGTGCTCCGCAAGCAAGCCACTAGTGAAATCGGGCGGCTGCCTTTTCATGCACACAGTTCTCCGCACCTTCACAGTTCCTGAGGTTCAGTGGGCCTTCTCTCTCCTTTCCAGATGGTACAGCCTCCTCTCAGCCAGCTGTCTGGCGCTTCAGGGCAATGTTTCCCCTGTCTTCCAGTTCTAAATTCAAATTTGTTGTGGCAGGCTGCATTCGAGTGTCTTCCCTATGCCGACATCTTGGTTTCTCTCACATTTTCAAGATATTAAGCCTTGTCTAAGTACATGGCTGTCCTTCCATTCGCTTAAGTCTTCAATTTTTTAAAATCCTCATCTGAGGATATAATTTTATTGATTTTTAGAGAGAGGAAGGGACAGAAAGAGAGAGAGAGAGAGAGAGAGAGAGAGAGAGAGAGAGAGAGAGAGAGAGAGAAAGAGAAAGAGAGAAACATTGATGTGAGAAAGAAACATCAATCCATTGCCTCCTATACTTGCCACTACCAGGGATTGAACCTGCAACCTAGGTATGTGCCCTGACTAGAAATTGAACCTACAGTTTTTTGGTGAATGGGGCACTCCAACTAACTAAGCCATCCACCAAGGCAGGCCTTTAATTTTTTTTCAACATCATGCTATGTAGTTGTCAGTTTACAGGTCTTATACTTCTTTTGTTAAATTTATTCATAATTTTTTTTGCTGTTATTATTAAGTAGAATTGTTAATTTCATTTTTGGATTTTTCATTACTAGTGTGTAGAAATAAAATTGGGTTTTGTATGTTGATTTTATATCTTGCAGCCTTGTTGAACTTGTTTATCAGTTCTAATAGTTTTTTTTGAGTCCTAAGAATTTTTTTTTGGATACAGGGTCATGTCCTATTCAGATAGAGGTAGATAACATTACTTCTTCCATTCCAATATAGATTCTCTTTATTTCTTTTCTTTCTTTCTTTCTTTCTTTTTTTTTTTTTTTTTTTTTTTGCCTAGAATCCTGTCCAGAATATCTGGTATATAATAATGTTGAATAGAAGTGGTGAGAGTGACATTGTTGTTCTGCATGTATTGTTCCTGATGTTAGGGGAAAGCATTCTGTCTTTCACTGTTAATTATGCTGTTAATGCTCCAGTTTTTGTAGCTATCCTTTATTACAGTAAGGACCTTCTAATTTTACTTTGTTGAATGGTTTGTTTTTTCATGAAAGGATGTTGGGTTTTGTCAAATTCTTTTTCTGTGTTGAGATGATCATGGTGTTTAGTTTTTGGTTTTTATTCCTTTATTAACATGGTGAATTACATTGATATTAAACCAAACTGGCTTTCTGGGACCCCTCTTTTTCATGGTATATAATCCTTTTATGTTTTGTTGCAAATGGTATGCTAGTATATCCTTGAGTATTTTTGGTGACAACATATATATATATATACTTAAGATATATTGGTCTGTAGTTTTCTTTCCTTATGATGTATTTGTTTTGTTTTGTAATCACAGTAGTATTACTAACATGTAATGAGTTGGGAAGCATTCTTTCCCTTTCCAGTTCATGGAACAGTTTATGAAGGGTTGATAATAAATCTTCAAGACTAAAGATATTGTAATTTTTGTTTTTACCTTTTAGGATTCTCCTTTTACAAATGCAGGAATGGGATCTAATCTAAATCTCCTGGGTGAAATTGAATGTGATGCCAGCATAATGGATGGAAAATCCTTAAATTTTGGAGCTGTTGGAGCCCTGAGCGGTATGTGGACACTGTAACACACTATCTCTGTTCTTTATAAAACTATGAATATTATCATTCTATGGCATCTGAAGACCTATTCCAGTTTTTTCCACCATTCTTAATTGGAATAGTGTTGAAAGCAAATTTAAAATTTTTTTTACTAAATTTAAGACATGAAATTTTAGCTGTATACAGTCTTTGTTAGAGTTTGATCATTCTCCATCCCCTCAAAGATTATAGACATTTCAAATGTGTTAGCATATTCTCTTAATTTTATAATGATTAGAAATCATAATTTTGTAATTACTTGAAATAATTTTTTTTGTTGTTAAAAAATTCAAACGACATACAAGCATACCTAGGAAATATTGTGGGTTCTGTTCCAGACCACCTTTATAAAGTGAATATCCCAAAAATGTATCATATGAAGCTTTTGGTTTTCAAGTGCATATTAGAGTTTTAAAAAAAATAGGTCCCTTTGGAATTTCTATACATGCAATTATATCACCTATGAATCATGGCAGTCTTGCTTTTTTTCCCCCCCAACATTTTAAGTGTTGTTTTTTTTTTTTTTCCTTGCATTTTTATACTGACTATGGCATCCAGGACAATGTTGAATATACGTGATAACAGTATACATCCTTGCTTTTTTCTTGATTTTAGAGCGAGAACATTAAATATTTCACCATTTTGTATGCTGCTAGTAGGATTTTCATAGATGCTCTTTATCATATTGAGAAAGTTCCCTTCTAATCTTAGATTGCTGATAGTTTTTATTATAAATGGGTATTGAATATCATTAAGTGCTAGTCTGCATCTACTGAGATATGAAATTTCTCCTTTATTTTGTTAAAGAAAATTTATGTTCCCTTCTTGGCGTAAAATCTTCTTGGTCATAAGTTTTTATTTTTATATTTTGCTGATGTTCAAGATTTTTGACATTTATGTTTGCATAATAGGCTTTAATTTTTCTTTCTTATAATATTCTTTTCAGGTTTTGGAATCATGGTATGGCTGGCCTCATAAAATGAGCTAAGGATTTTTTTTCTTTCTGACCTTTGAAAGAGTTTGTGTATGATTGGAATGATTTCTTTTTAATTGTTTGGAGGAATTCATTAGTTATTCTAAATTAGTAGTAGAGTTTTTGTGGGAAGTTTTTAAAAAAAGGGATCTAATTTCTTTAACAGTTATAAGACTATATATTTTTTTTTCTCCTGTGTGTTTTTCAAGGAATTTGTCTTTCTTTTATAAGTGTTCAAATTTCTTAGTCTAAAGACTTTTTTGTTAGCTTTCATTATTTATTTCTAGTCTTTAATTTCACTGTGGTCTAAAAACATACGCTATAAGATTCCAAGCCCATAAAGTCTTTTGAGACTTGCTTTATGGCCCATATTATGATGTGTTTTTGATAAATGGTCCATGTGAACTTGAAAAGAGTATGTATCTTATAGTTGTTGGGTACATGTTCGACATGTCATGTCTATTTGATTATTCATTATTCCAATATTCTATATTCTTTCTTATTTGTATGATAGGTAAGAAATGGTATTTCAATTAGTTTTTATTTTCTTTTATTGTAAAATTTTATTGGTATTTAATGAAATTTCTCATGTTTAAAGGGCATTTACATTTTTCTGTGAACTGTTTATACCTCTTGTGTGGCTTGCCTTGTAAAACTATAATGTGCTTTATCATATTGGAATTTAAAATTTTTATTTGTCAAATTTATTTCTCTTTTATGGCTTTTGTATTTTGCATTTGTAAGGTTTCTCTCATAATTATGAGTTTAGTCACCTATATTTTTTTCTAATATGTGTGTAATATATTTTTATTTAACTCTTAAATGGATTATTTTTTTTGAAATGACCAACACATTGTCCCTACATAATTTATTGAATAACAATTTATTGAATAATAACTACCATTTATTAGATAACCATTGCATAATATGCATTTTTCTCCAATAGTTTATACAGTATGTATTAAATCATTTAGTTCTCACAATAACATGAGGTCAGTACTTTTCCCCCTATTTTACAGATGAGAAAATTGAGACACAGGAGAGGTTTAATTTGTCCATGGCAGTGATTAGCAAACTCATTAGTCAACAGAGCCAAATATCAACAGTACAATGACTGATATTTCTTTTGAGAGCCAAATTTTTTTAAACTTCAACTTCTTCTAATGCCACTTCTTCAAAATAGACGTGCCCAGGCCGTGGTATTTTGTGGAAGAGCCACACTCAAGGGGCCAAAGAGCCGCATGTGGCTCATAAGCTGACCACAGGTCGATTGTTGCTGTATCAGACTGGGTTCAACTAGGAGAAAGAAATCACCCAGTAGTTTAAACAGGAGAGGTTTAATATAAAGAATTATTAAATAGTGATAAGAGAGTAACTATATGAAGATGGAGAGAAAACTCAAACTGTATTCTAGGGCAGAAGAATACTGAAGTAGGGATTAACTTGGAGGGGAATTCAGACCTTGTTGTAGAAGGTATGGTTGCAGCCCACTGTCAGATAGAGAAGTTGCTGGGGTACCCAGGCCATTGTCACTGTGAGAGCAGGAAGGATCTTGGGTGGCTCAGGTGAGCTTGGCCTGGTAGGTGGGCACACAGAAGTCAGGAAGCCATAGTAACTAAACTCTATTGCCAAGGATAGCAATTGGGCTTTTGGCTCATCAGACGGTCAACCAGGTGGAACATTTTGCCATGTTTGCCTGTCGGGCTGAGGAGAAGATGGGGGGATCAGTGACTTGAGCTGGGTGCAGTCCTAGTCTTCCTGAGGCTGTCAGCTATGCTGCCGTGGCCTGAATTAAGAGCTGGGGAAAACATGTGGTGGCCAAATGCTGGAGAAAACTGTTCCCTGCAGTCACTTAGCACTGGAGACTACCATGCGGGCCAAATAGTGGAGAAAAACTGGTATTTTCCAGGAGCTGGATAGCAAGCCACCTTTTTCTCCTGCAGTGTGTCTCCAGTGCCCTCTACTGACAAACGATATCAGTGTGCCAGCTGGCAAAGGAAACATTTAAAGGGCCCTTTTCCATTTTTACAGATCAAGCAACAAAGGATGGATTTGTAGCTGAGAACCAATAAATTGATAGCTGGTACAGTAGTAAAATAGTCAGATCCCCAGCACTCTATGTGTTCTTTCTGCCTGTCATATGTACCCTATCTGTGCCCTACTCATTTGAAAACTATCTGTATCACATATTAAATATCCAAATTCATGTGTGTCTGTGTCTGAAGTTTAGCTTTATTCTATTCAATTGATATATTTGTCTATTTTGTACTCAAACCACACTCTTTTCATTAGAATAGCTTTTAACGAAAATGATCTTATTGGGTGAAGTCTTAACTTTTTTCCAAAGTTTTCTCTAATGAATTTAAGAGTCAGCTTGGCATACTTTAGAAATTTTGAATTAATAGACTTGAATTTATAAGTTAATTTGGTAATTGTTAATGTCTACAATATTGAATCATTTATTCAGAAATATATTTAAGAGCTCCGAGACCCGTGCTTTTCCATCCTTTGGTATTTTATACATTTTTGTGTGTGACAGTTTTTTAAAATGTCAATATGGGGGTCTTAATTGTAATTTTTATAGCTGCTTTATATCCCACTGCTGATCTTTTATTTACATTAGTAGTGTCCTGAGAGGCATCATAGCTTAATGGTTAAGGCATGGTCTCTGGTATTAGCTGCCTCTGTTAAAATCTCAGCACTAATCTTGGGCAGGTAAATTAAGCTTCTGTGAAAATGTTTCCTCAGTAATGAGATAGGATTCATAAGGGTATTTATGTGGAAGACTGAAGGGATCAATTAAGTAATCTGATACATTTAAGGGATTGGCACTGGACCTGACACATCCTATCTAGTAAAGAGGGAATATGCTAATTGACCACCACTCCTTCACAAAGATGGCTGTACCCAGAGCCGAGGCCAAATTCCCATAAGGAGACTTAACAAGCAATCATCAGGGACCGGAGGCTACGCCCCCCACCTGAAGGACTTGACAGGGGACCTCAGGCCACACTCTCCACCCCGGCACCAGGCCAGGGGACCTCAGACTGCAACCCCACCTGGCGGGGTTTCACGGGGGACCTCAGGCCGTTGCCCCCGCCCCATCACCATGCCAGAAGACCTGAGGCTGCACCCTCCTGCCTGGCTGGCTTTGACAGGGGACCTCACTCCATGCCCCCTACCCAGTGGGTCTTGATAGGGACCTCAGGGTGCACCCCCAGTGCTGGGTTGGGGGAAATCAGACCGCATTGTGATAGGGGAACTCAGGCCTGAGGCTGTGATAGGGGACCTCAGACCCTTTGCAGGGCTTGATAAAGGTGGTACTGGCCGGGTCTGGATCTAGCCCAATTGGGGGGCTAGGGCAGCCAGGTCTGGGTTTCATGCAGTTTTGAGGTGCATATGGGTGGGTGGAGACTTGACTTTGGGTACCATGGTGTGCCCCAGACTCTGACAGGTGGGAGGTTTTCATGTACATTTTACTATTTTCTTTCATCTCTGACACTTCTATTGTAGAAAAAGGGCAAATAGCAACATTAAATTATTTGATCTAATTAATCCCCTTTTAATCTGCATTAATTTTCTGCACCAGGTCACTAGTATGAGATACTAAGTTATTGTCACTGTCTTCTGTCCTTATCATTATTGTCATTATTTGTCATTGTCATTGTCTTCCTGATTTGCTTTCACACTAATACTTACTGCCATCGTTTTCCCCAGATAAGTGCCCATTTTTCACTTTTCACATTCTGTTTTCTCTCTTGAAAACAATCTGAACCATACTTTAGGTTACAATCTGAACTATTACTTTAGATAACAATCTTGTATATACTTGGTATATTCTCTCTACCTCTATATAGAACTTCCTCTATATTCAGTCTTTTTTACAGGTGAGATTTTAAATATTTGGCCATTAATTTTCCTCCCCAATTAAATTTGAAGCTGTTTGTAATCATGCTTATTTATTTTTTTTATTTTTAAAATATTTTTATTGATTTTCAGAGAGAGAGAGGGAAAAAGAGGAAGAGAGAAGAGAAACATCGATGTGAAGGCACAAAATCAGTTGGCTGCCTCCTGCAGGCCCCCCATCAGTGCCAAGCCCACAATCTGGATATGTGCTCAGATGGGAAATGGAACTGACAACCTTTTGGTGCATGGGACAATGTTCAACCATCAAGCCAAGCTGGCCAGGGCATTTCTTTCTTTCTTCTTCTTCTTCTTCTTTTTTTTTTTTTTTTTTAAATATATTTTTATTGATTTTTATACAGAGAGAAAGGGAGAGAGATAGAGAGCTAGAAACATCGATGAGAGAGAGTCATCGATCAGCTGCCTCTTGCACACCCCCTACTGGGGATATGCCCGCAACCAAGGTACATGTCCTTGACAGGAATCGAACCTGGGACCCTTCAGTCCCCAAGCCGACGCTCTATCCATTGAGCCAAACTGGTCCTGGCCCAGGGTATTTCTTTAGAGGAAATATATGGTTTTGATTGTAGATGTCACATTTTCAGTTTCTTTTTCTTTTTTATTATTCTGAAATATATTAAAAAGGAACCGAATTTAAATATTATTATTTCAAATTCAGTTTTTGCTATAGCATATGACAAAATACGAGAAGGTATGTTTTATATTTGTTCTTTTCTGGAATTTACTAGGTATTCATGTATTTGTTGATTTGTTCTTATTGTTTATGATAATTAAGGATTTTTATTAAAATATAAGAGTTTTCCAATATATTTAAAACTTGTGTTTATTGAAATTGTCACAAAACTGAGTTAGAAACTTGAAGACTTTTTTACTTTATTTTCTGCTAATTTTATTTTATAGGAATCAAGAACCCAGTCTCAGTTGCGAACAGACTCTTGTGTGAAGGGCAGAAGGGCAAGCTCTCTGCTGGCCGGATTCCTCCCTGGTAACCGCTTTGTTCTGCCTGACTTTCCCTGGGTCTTTGGTCTTTGGTGCATGCAGTGTTTGAAGGCTATTTTTATCCACAGAAGGTTGATGCTGTTGGTTGTACACCAGTGGTAGCTTGCCTTTGAGTTGAAGACTCACTTTGTTCTGTGATCTTTGTACACTTGATAGAACTCCGGATGGAATAGAATATTGTGGATTAAAGGAGAAAAGAGATCAGAGTTATTTTGGGTTTTGTAGTTGATTATAGGGATGTTTTTGCTGTTACTAAGACTCAACTGGGGTCTTTTTATTATGAAACTTTAAAAGTATCTTGCACATTCTAGTCCAGAGTCTAAACTAATTGTTAATCTTGAGGAGTTCTTAGAATAAAAATACTTAATTTTTCTCATCTGCAGAAACACATTGTGACACTAAGATTAGTCAGGTCACATCTCTTCTCCAGCATTAACATACAATTCTCATTAAAAACACTTTGAACTTTTCAAATAGTTCTAAGAGTTGAGAATGTTGTAAAGAGCCCTCATGAACCTGTCATCCAGCTCCAATAATTAACAATGCTTTTGCTCTTCATCTCTTTCATGCATATCTTTTTTCTCCTGACATTTTAAAGCAAATCCTTGACATCCTATTTTACCCTCAGATAGTTCTGTAAATTTGTCTGTTTGCAAAGCATAACCACCATCCTGTTAGCATGCCTAACATTATTAACAAATATGCCTCAATACTGTCTCATACTCAGTATGTATTCAGCCTGGCTGTGAAGGTTACATTAGTGTTCTGTGTGAAAGTTATTACAGTAGTACTATAGGAATCACTTTGACTGTTATAATTTTAAGTCATAGAAAATAAATTTATTAATAGTTTTGAAAAACCTTGAAATCTTTTACCTAAATAAATTAAAGGTATTCTTTTAATCATATACTTCTTAGGTGTTTAATCGTGGTATTAAAAAAGGTTGATTATACAAAATTTCAAAGAAATGTTAATTTTTAATATTTGTTTTCAATAAAACAAGGGTAAAGGAAAGCAATCTCTAATATGAGTTTTATTATTTCCATCATGTTTAAGAAATATAAAGTACTGACAAGAAAAAGGCAACCAAAATTCTAAAAATTAAAGGATACAAATAGACAACTTATAGAAAATAAAATATTGATGGCACATGAATATATGAAAAGTTGCTCAATCATAATATTAATAAAAGAATTGTGAATTAAGATGATATATTTTCACCTTATATAAAGTAGTAAAATTAACTAATAAGACTAATTAGGCTAATTATATGACTAATATCCAGTCTTGTTGAGGGTGTGGGAAAAAAGTTTTTTTGTGTTACTAGTGCTGGTGGGAACATATAGCTAGTTGAGAGACATTTTTACATCATTGATTAATGTAAAAAATGACAATGCACATGCTGTTTGCTCCAGCAATTACACCTTAAGACAGAACACCTTCACATGTACACAGAAAGGCTTGTGCAGCAAAAGAGGGATATAGCAGTGTGGCTTCTATATAAACCTGTACACAACCTAGATGTCTATCAATGGCTAAGTAAGCTATTTTCTGGTTGTATTTATTAACTACTCTGCAGCATAAATGAAAGAGAGAAACATTTACATATAGTAACATATATAGATCTCTAAGTTGCTGAATGTGTTCAGTTTAGCTTACATAGAGGATCTCTACATCCTTAGTGCTGCCATGGAGGCTGCAGAGGCTCCTGCCACTGCTGCTGCGCTCGCCAGCCGTGAGCCCAGCTTCTGGCTGAGCAGTGCTCCCACCGTGGGAGCGCACTGACCACCAGGGGGCAGCTTCTTCGTCAAGTGTCTGTCCCCTGGTGGTCAGTGGTGACTGGTCATTTGGCGGTTTGGTCTATTTGCATATTAGCCTTTTATTGTAGAGGACACACACACACACACACACACACACACGCATACACACACACACACACACACACACAAACACACAAAAGGTCTGGAAAGTTACCAAACTCACTATGATTATTTTTGGGAAGTAGGAAAAAGAGAACAAGATGAGGTAATTATCAAAAAGGAAGTGTAATATTTTTATATTTTTCAAATATAAAATATGTGGGGGAAAAATGATGGCCATTTTGCTATTAAAATGATGTCATATAGTAATCCTACACTTGTTTGGAACTAGCTCTCTGATTTTCTCATGTACATCGTTTTTCTGCTTTGTTCTTTGCTTTCAAATTATTTAGACTATTTTAGGCATTTTACATTTCCATATGAATTTTAGAATCATATGTTAATTTCTATAAATAGCTGCTGGAATTTTGATTAGGATTGCAACATATCCATTTATTAAGAATTTCTTTAACTTCTCTGGACAGTGTTTTATAGTTTTCACTGTATAGGTCTTTCAAAGCTTTTATTCAATTTATACTTAAGTGCTTTATTCTTTTTAATTCTATGATAAGTTGTATATTTTAAAAATGTTAATTTTCAATAATTTGTTGGCAATATATAAATATATGAATGATTTTTATTATAGTGATGTTCTATCTTAGGAATTTGCTATACTCAATTGTTCTAGTACCACACTTATAGATTCCACAAAATTTTCTACGTAGATAGTCATGTCTTCTGGGGATCTAATTTCACTTCTACTGTTATAATCTGGATTCCATTAATTAATTTTTCTTCATTACAGTGGGTAGGACCTCTGAAGCAATATAGACTAGAAATGTGAGAGTGGACATTCTTGCCTCGTTGTGATCTTAGGGAAGTCGCATTTGGTCTTTTACTGTTAAGTCTGATAGTTGCTATAGATTGCTATAGATGTTCTTTTTTATGTTGAGAAAGTCCCCTTTTTTATGTTGAGAAGTCCCCCCCCCCTTTTTTTTTCTTTTATTTTGTGTTTTTTTTTTTAGATTCATTTTGGTTATTTTAATGATAAACATCCATTACCTTTGTCAGAGACGACCCCACTCCTGAAGAACTACACAAAGCCCAGCTGGTGTGGCTCAATAGTTGAGCATCAACCTATCACAGTTCATTTCCCAGTCAGGGCATATTCCTGGGTTGCCTGCTCAGTGCTGACGAGGGGGTGTGCTGGAGACAGCTGATCAATGATTCTCTCTCTTCATTGATGTTTCTATCCATCTCTCCTTCTACCTTCCTCTCTGAAATCAATAAAAATATTTAAAGAAAAAAAAGATTCATTTTCATAGATATATATTCATTGCTATTTTGTTCATATTTTTTATTTTTATTTTTCTTCTTATTTTTCTTAAAACGGCCCTTTAACATTTTATGTAATATTGGTTGTGATGAACTCCTTTAGCCTTTCTTAGTCTGAGAAGCTCTTTATATGTCCTTTGGTTCTAAATGATAGCTTTGTTTAATAGAGTAATCTTGGTTATAGGTCCTTGCTTTTCATCTGTAGTTTGGTTGGCATTTTGGTGTGGTTGTGGGAGGATGTGAGTACTATGTTTACCTATGCCTCCATCTCGACCTGAAGTCTATCTGAGGAAGTCTCTTTTTTGCATAATGTAAACATTTTTTCAAACGTTTTTCTGCATTTATTGAGATGATCTTATAATTTTTTTTTTCTTGGTCAATATATTGATTGGTTGATTTTTGGCTATTAATTCAACAGTTGCATTTCTGGGATAAATTCTAATTGGTCTTAATGTATAAGACTTTGTAAAGAATTTTTGCACCTATATTAATGAAAGATATTGGCCTGTTTTGTTTTTTGGGTATACAGGGATATATTTCTATATTTCATCAAATTTGGGAAATTTTTGCTTGTCATTTCTTCAGATATTTTCCTGATAACCCTCGTCTCTTCTATTCTTTAGGACTTCAATACATATCTATTTGACTTTTTAAAAAAAAATGTTTTTATTAATGTTAGAGAGAGAGGAAGAGAGACTGATAGAAGGACATTAATGAGAGAAAAACATTGATCAGCTAACTCCTGCTGGTCCCCTACTTGGGATTGAGCCCACAACCTGAGCATGTGCCCTGGCCAGGAATCGAACCAGTGACCTCTTGGTTCATAGGTTGATGCTCCACTGAGATGCACTGACCAGGCTCTATTTGACTTCTTGTAATAGTCCTATAGATCACTGATAATTTGTTGACCTTTTCCATTTTTTTCTGTTTTATTTTGAATAATTTTCATGGTTGTTTTCAAGTTTAGTAATTATTTTTCTTAATATGTAATCACCTGTTAATTCCATCTAATTTATTTTTCATTTCTGGTATTGTAGTTTTTCATCTTTCAGAAGTTTGATTTGCATGTTTAAGAAACTATCTTCCATGAATCTACTTAATATGTTTAATCTTTCCTGTAGCTTCTTAAACTTCTTATAGCTTCTTGAAGGTATGAATAGAGTTACAATGTTTTAATATCTTTGTACTAATTCTATCATGTTTAGTATTTTGGAGTGGTTTTTAATCGAATGATTCCTCTCTTCATTATAGTTACATTTTCATGCTTCTTTGCATGCTTGGTAATTTTCATTAGATTCCAGACATTGTTTTATTTGGTGCTGGATATTCTTTTATTTTAATAGATATTCTTCAGCTTTATTATAGGATATGGTTAACATAATGAAAGGCAGTTTCATCTTTTTAGGTCTTGCTTTATATTTTGTTACATGCCACAAAGGAAGCATTTAGCCTTGTGTTGATTTTGCTTTGCTATCCAGGCCAAATCCTTCTAAGTACTATAGCAGATGCACCTAGAGTGATTTCTTTTTTTTTTTTTTTTTTTACTTTGGTGGGAACAGGAGTTCTCTCTGGCTTTGTGTGAACTTGGAGATTGTTTCCTCTACAGCTTTCACATTATTCTTTCCCATGCTCTGGTTAATTTCCTTTTACACACACTGATCTCTACGCAACTGAAGTCTAGAAGAGGACTCTTGCCTCCTCTCTGGTATTTGCCCTCTGAACTCTGGCTACCTTGGTTGGCTTCTTTGGATGTCCAACTCAAAGAGACTGCCAGGCTCTTCCTGAATTATGT